TTGTCAAACCACAATTTTCGTAATTGTACGCTCAGACGCTGGCGGTTCCACGACGGCAATACACACCACTCACCAATAACAAACTGTACCGCCTGTCTAACTCGGCTTTCAGCGTTTATTTTATTTTATTTTTCTTCGGCTTCGAGCGATCGATAACTGCGACGATTACAAAAATAACGCCGTCACGAAAGCTGCTGCGACGCAACGCGGAGTGGGCCGCGTCGCGTGCCGCTCCCGGACCGAAAGGAGCTTGCATGCGCGCGCGCGCGAGCCAGGCAGCAGCAGGGCAGCAGGGCGGCTCCGTGGCGCGCGCTCGGACCTGCCGAATATATATTCGGGGCTGCCCCGAGTTGGCGGCGGCTCGCGTGCCTGGCGCATCTGTTGCTCGCGCCACGCGTGCGACACGGCGACGACCTCTGCCGCTGGCACTGGCCACTGGGGCACCTAGCGGCTCTCTCGGACGCGGAAGAGCGCCTGGACTTTTCGGAGGAGGCCAACAATGGAGGGAAGCGCGGTGGACGCTCGGCGTTGGCAGCGGCGCGGCTAACGGGAGCGAGCGGCGAGCGACGCGCGGCGAGCGCGCGTACGGAGTTTACGTAACGAGAAAACGGGCATTGTGCTGCGATTAATTCGATGCACCGATCAATCTACATCTGGTCTCTTGCCGCCTCGCCGCTGCCACAGTCTCCTCTCCGATTCTCCTTCGCTCGGGCGTATTATGCAATAAAGAAGCGATTCGTCGAGTTAAAGTCGAGCGACGGTGGCAGCGCTCGCGCTGGCTGGCGGTGTCGGCCGGCCAAAATAAACAAAGAGCGCGGAGCTGGCTCGCGGCGCGCGTCGGGCCTGCGACGATGACGCCCAGCGGGCGCGCTCGGCGGCTCCAGGAATAAAGCCAGGCGCGAGGCTTCGCTCGCGGCCGAGCGTCGCGCAGGCCATTTTCGCCGCGCGCCTCGACGCGCGCGCGCGCGCTAAATGGACTCTTGAGTAGCGAGACGCCGCTCGCTCTGTTTCGAGAGCGAGTCGCGAGGCGCGCGCTCGCGCTCGCGTTCGGCTATTTTCGGTGTGTGGGTGAATCACGGGCGGGGGAGCCGCGCGGCCAGGCGGAGTCTGCGACGAGAGCGAGGGCACGAGGAGAAAAAGGCCGCGGCCGCTGCGAGCGTCTGCCTTCGGCTGCGAGCTAAATCACTTATTTCAGAAATAACGCCGCGACGCGGAATTAATAATCGCGCCTCGCTTACGCCTCGGTATATCAGCCGAATGTGCGCGCGGCGATCGGGGCCTCGGCGCGCGCCGCGAGAGCGACGAGCGGGAACATGGCAAATAGCAGCGCCGTAATATCCCACTTGCCAGCAGCGCTCTTGAGACGCTCGCTCTGGCTGCCGGCGGTGCGCACGCACGCAGGCGCTGCGCGCGTGCCAGCGCGACAGCGCGCTGCCGCGGCTATTAATAGGTGTATCTCTCTGTGTCGCGACTCTGCCATTAGAGCGTATAAGCATAAGCAGCCGCGGCGACGCGAGCGCGCTTCTTTGTGCGCCCTTCCTCGCGGGCAGCGATCCTCCTTTTCGGGCCGAGCGCGCGATTTCCGCCAACTACCAGCGTCATCGGACCGATCGACTTGCCTCGCATGCATATTCGTGCGCAGCGCTGTTTACAGTATTTTTTGCTTTGTTGGGACGCTCGCCTACTGGCTATTATGACGATCGGGTTTGCGCGGACAAAGGCGCAAGTAAAAAGAGCAAGCGCGAAAGATGGAGAGAGGGAGAGAGCGAGAGAGCGCGAGAGAGAGCGCAGAGTCAGCGAGCCGCGAGCGGCGTCGCGGGAATTTATCCTACGTGCACGGCGGTGCACGTGATCGGCAACAGTCGCAGCGCGCGACTCGACTCCGACTGGCAGCTGACGCGCGCATTTGTAGTATTTCCACTTGTTGATGGGAGCCGCTCGACTGGATTGGCAGCCAGCGCCGATGGATATTTGGCGCGAGTCAATAATCGGCACGTATTTATCAAACAAACAGCGAACTGGATACTAGGGGTCTTCTCCTCGCTCGGCTTTTTTCCTCGTCGACGGTCGCGGCTGTTTGTTTTCGTAATTGGGCCGAATGCGCTTGGCCGCGAGCTTCTCCTCGACGGCGCAGCGGCCAGCGGTCCGCGTGACTCGACTCGGCCGCTGGTCTGGCCGCGCGCGCTCGCCTCGGGAAGTGCCGCCGCCACACGGGGATTTCGGCAAGTTCGCAGTCGCGTCGATGTTCCCCTACCGCTCTGCCGCGATCCCGCGGACATCGCGTCTCGAGGAGTGGGAGTGTGCCCCCGCTCCCTGCCGCGCTCTCGAGGGGAACGCCGAGCCGGCAAAACTTTTGTCCTCTCTCCTCCGAGGACCCACACATGCCGAATCATCTTCGGTAGATGTGTATGTGCACCAACAATGACGACGACACCGCCGGAAGCATTAATATTTTTTTATTGATGGGATCGGCGTTCGCTCGCTCCTCCGTTCATCCGCCCATTCGTTATAGTTGTTACACGTATTTTCGACGCCCAGACGCGAAGCTCTATTCATTCGGCGACTGACGGCCAGCACCAATTTTTCCTCCTTACATCTTCATTATTCAATTATCGATAGCATTGGCAGTTTGTCTCGCCTCGGACGGCACTTGTCGGCTCGCCTGAAATACCGCGTTAATGCTCGCTCCTCCGATCTTGGCTCATCCAAAAATACTCGGTATTTTTATTTGGCGCGTAATGGCCTGCTATCGTGTCGATTCGGGAAAGGCGATGGCTGTGCCCGGCCCGGAAACCCGGCGAAAACCGACGGCGAGCCAGCGCGCGGTCCGCTCGCCTCCGATCGTCGTGCCTGGCAGCCGAGGCACGGGGGTGCCGAGTTGGAATAATCCAGCTGACTGCTGGCGAATGACGCGGAGATCGGGTGATTGGCGGCAGCTCCCGCGCGCGTTAGCAGATCGAGAGAGAGAGAGAGAGAGAGAGAGAGAGAGAGAGCAATGACACTGTCGCGCGCATCTGCGCGTCGCGTTATTTTGTCTGCGGGCGCCTTCCGAGCGGCGAGCTCTCTCTCGCTCTCTCTCTCTCTCTCTCTCTAGCCGCGAAATCCGCGAGTCGCGACAGATCTCTCTTTCTTTTCTGCCGCGCGGAATGCGCGCGCTCCCGCAATATTTATAGAAAGCAATAGGTCGTCCGCATGTTGGGGCTGAGGCCATCGACTCGCCCGCAGCCGCGCGAGCGCCGATGACTTTTCTTTATCTGCTTCTGTATTTCCGAGGTGAATCATCTTCGCCTGGCTCTCGACAAATTTTTCATTGTCACGAGCCGCGCGGCCAGACGGCTTTACATATTGAAGAATGATTCTCATCGCCTTCGCCCGCCACGGCATTTGTCCCCGACATATGTAAGGTCTTTAATTGGCATTAGAGTCGCAGAGAGAAAGATCGTCAGGACAGATATCGGAGGAAGATTTAGTGAGAGGCAAGGCCGTCGCGCTAATAAATCCAAGAGTCGAATTTCACTGGGCTACACGCATAGCCGGCGTGCGTGTGTGCGGCACTGGCGTGCACAACTACGCGGACGCGTCAATGCGAGAACGAGAGAGAGAGAGCGTGCGCAGATAGGTGATGGACGCGTGAACGGGGATAATCGTGAAGCTATGCGGGGCGACACATGCATTGTGCGCGCGGTGTGCGTGCAGTCATTTAGCGCACAAGCTCTGCTGCTAGCACTCGGCTGTGGCGGCAGAGGCCGGCCGGACTAGTTTGCGCGCGGCGCGTTATTAAGCGGGCTTACTTTATTGGAAACAGGTAGTCAGCCAATATAGCGCTCCGCTCCCTCGCTCGCCCGCCCGCTGCCTGCGTACGCGCACGTGCACTTAGCAGCCTCTGCCCGAGCGATCGCTTAATTTGGTCGGGCGCACGCGGTACGCGGCGTTGCGAGCGTCGACGACGGAGCGTTGGCGCTTAATCGCTCGGCACTCGCGCAAATTGTCGCTCGATTGGTTTTTCGGGCCCGGCGCGCCCGCGGCTCCGAGGCCGAGCGTCTCGGCGGCGCGTGCCGCCCGGCCGAACCCCAAATCGTCCCAACTATGCTCGCGCGCGCGCCGGCACCGCCAAGTAGTCCGAGTTGTTGCCAGTGCGAAACTTCCGAGCCGGATTCCCGAGTTGGCCTTCCCTCGGCCTCACCCCACGGCCGCGACCCCCGCAGAATCGCTCGACTGACCGACAATCCGACCGACCAGCAATTACCCCTGACGCGCGAGCGGAGCCGCGATATGCGTCACCTGCTTTCGCTCGTTCGCGCCCCATCGCCTCGTTCTCGCCAGCTCCATTAACAATCGACGCCTGCCTCTCGCCGATTCGGCGCGCACTTGGTTAACCGACTCGCGACTCTCGACCATCCTGCGCGACATCGGCGGGCTCGGCGTGTCTGTGGCGGCGGCGGCGGCGGCGGCGGCGGCGCCGCGTCTATTAATATTTGAGCGGCGTAAATCGTAATCGATGGAGGCGCTCGCGCTCCCGAAGACGTAAAGGCAGCGCGCGAGCGACGTCAAAACGTCAATCATTAAATGAAATGATAATTGTCGCGAGCGCGTCAATTAGGAGGATCGAAAAGAGCTCGCAGAAGCTGAGGCTGCCGCTGCCGCTGTGCTAGCGCGGCTCCTCGCGCCAATTATTCAAATCATCTCGAATAAGGGGATTTATTTGTGAAATCGAGTTATCGAGGCGGTTAAGAATTAAGTGTATTCCGACTCGATTTGTCACTTCGGCTCGCCGACTGCTCAGCCTTAATCTCATTGAGCCCTTATATATCGAATTGGCGCTCGCAAGGCGCGTCGCCGCGATAGATGGACGGATAAGTTAAGGAGGCTTAGTGAATTTATAGCGCGGCGGAGCCGAGTTTGACCCAAAATCGGAATCGAGCGGCCGGGCGCCGGATGCCGCGCGGAATCGAGCGAGCGGACACGGCGGGCGCCGCCGACAGGACCGCCTGGGCACTGACCTGTTGCCAGAACTGGGCGAGCAGGTAGATGCGCTCCTTCTTGAAGAGGTACTCCATGGACTGCATGGCCTGCAGGTCGAGGCTGCTGGGCTCGGCGCTGGCCTGCATGCTGGCGGCGGCGGCGAGGGCCGCGGCGGTCGCCGAGGGGCTGAGGCCCGCCAGGAGGGCTTGCGGCTGCTGCAGCTGCAGGGCCGCCTGCACGTTGCCGCTCGAGCCGGCTAGCAAGTTGGCGTGGTAGACGGTCGCGCCGCTCGCATGGTCCTCGGGGGAGCTGGCGCCGCCGGCGGCGGCCGCGGCCTGCAGGAGTTGGGCCCCGATCGGCGCAGCAGGCCCCTGCAGGCCCAGTGACGAAGCCACTTTGACGGCTGCCTGCGAACTGGCGGTGCCCGAAACGACGCCCCGCGCCTGCGGCTGGGCCTTCCTGGCGCGCGGGCCGCCGCTGCTGCTGCTGCTGCTGCTGCCTGCCTGGTCGCCACCACCTCCGCGCTCGCCAACGCCCGATCGCGCCTCCACGGTCTCTGTCTCTATTGTGTCTGTCTGTTGACGCACGACCAGCACTGCTTTCACACTATCACCAGGCGTTGGTACCGGTAGCGCCAACGTCTCGTCATATCAGTCCCTGCGTCCGTGTGCACGCGCGCCAGCCCTCAGCCAGTAGCGATCACTCGCGACGCGCACTCGGCTGCCGAGCCAGTATCACTCGCAGCTGGCCGCATGGGAGCCGCAGTCGGAGCTGGCGCCGATGACCGCCGGGGACCGCGCGGGGCTCATCCGCTCGGCTGGCCGCCGGCTGCGGGCCGCGGCCCGCTGCTGCCTCGTGCTCGTCGGCGCCGGTTCGACAGTCGGGCGGCCGGTCGCCGGCGCTGTCATTGGCCACCAGGATGCGTGGCGCGAGCGGAGTGTCGCCGTAGAGCGCAGCGCGCGCCTCAGCGGTGCAGCGGCAGAGAGAGAGACCCGCGCTAGCAGGCTCCTAACCTGAAACTAAAAGCTACCGGAGGACCGATGCAGTGACTGGAGGAGGGCGATGCTCGGGCGGTGGGGGTGGGCGGGGCCGGGCGCGCCGTGGGGAGAGCCTGCCCATCGCGGCGCCAATCGTGGCGGCCGCCGCGCTCCCCTCCCGCCGGCGCGATACGCCCGAACGGCGCCGCGGCGCCGCGGAGAGAGTGGCGGCCGCGGCTCGGCGCGGCTAGGCGCGGCGGTGGGGGCCGCGCCGCCGCGCCGCGCGCCGCGCGGTGGGGCGCGGAGGAGCGCCGGCGGCGGCCGCCGCGCGTCCGCGCTCAGTGCCGATCCGCCGGCGGAGGCCGGCTAGGTGGTGGTGCGCGCGCGGCCGCGCGAGCCCTCGTCCGCGGCGGCCTGCCTCCAGCCCCGGCCTGCCAATCGCCGGTTTTTCCGAGCGTCCGTCGCGGCCGCCTGGTGCGCGCGGCCGCCCGAGCGCATCGGTCGCCCTTCGACGCCCGAGTTATGTCGCCCGAGCCAACTCCTTCGCCCCCGTACGCGCCGCCGGCGCTTCGCGTGTTCGTACGCGCTCTCCCTTTGTGCCCCTACTTCGCACCCCCGCTCTCCTTCCGCCGTCCGGCCGGCCGTCCGTCCGTCCCGCCTGCCTGCCTGCCTGCCTGCCTGCTGCCTTCCTTCCTTCCTTCCGCTTTTTTCTTGCGCCGACCGAGCCGCGGAATTTCTTTATATGGACGCTCCTCGCCGCCCGCGACATTGCCGCCCGGACATGCGCCGCATTCTCAACCAATAAGCAGCTTCGGCGCGGCGCATGCAATATCGCCAATTACGCCTTTTATTAAACTCGTCGCATTCTCTTGCGCGACTTGCGACTGGGACCGCCGCGCTCCGCGCGCCGCGGCCGCGTGCCTCGCCGTCCCGGCAGCGCGCCAGTCGACTTTCCCCCTTTCGCCTTATTATTCATTCGGGTTCGCGCGGCGGACGGCGCAGCGAGCTTTCGAGTCAATTGCATTGATAATTGCAGTACTCGACTGCGCAATGAAAAGAATGATAAGTGCACGAAAACGTTGCTCGGGGCCGGACGAGTGCGCGATGCAAATGAGCCGCGCGAGCTTGACAGTTTGCATTGCGCCAGTTGCGCATTGTATTTCCATTAAATAAAACATCGGCCGAGAGCGAGCGCGTGCAGCTAATGACTGGCGCGAAAGGGTTATTTATCGACGGCTCGAGCGCTTTCGGCGTGCTCCAGCTCCAGTTGACACCGCGCCGCTCGCAGATGTTGCGGACGTTGCACGCGACTTCCGATAATGGACCGACACCTGTGCCCGGGCCGTGCGGACCGCACCGGGAGGCCGCGTTCGGACCCGTCGAACATTCCAAGACGCAGCGCCCTCGAGACGAAGGGGAGTCGAGTGGAGTGGATGGCGCGCGGCGCGGAGCAGAGAGCAGGTCTCTCTGTGTGTACAATGAGAGGCGATCATCAATGGGGCCTGGTCCGCGTCAACAAAGGGCGTCAGGGCTCATTGTTTGTGGATCGGAAAGATAAGCTCGAGCAGCCGAGCCAGCCCGAGCCGAGGCTCGCACGTGTACGCGAGACGTATAATGGCCGGAGAGCGGAGAGCGAAATAAGAAGTAGTTATCGATTCCCGGCACGTCGCGCGCAGCCTGCAGGCCCATAACGAACGAAGGACTGCAGGCAGGCAGGCAGGCAGGCAGGCAGGCGGGCAGGCGGGCAGGCGGGCAGGCTGCTCGCCGAGAGCGCAGCATCGACGGACGCCGAGGCGACTGCACATGAGTAATATCGGCACGCGCGCGCGGGCAGATCCGCCCGGGCGAGTGTATAAGGTAGGTGCAGTGAGCGAGTTATGAATATACGCGTCGCGACCGATATTTATCGCCGGGCAGGCGACGCCCACCGAAGTAGGCATCCGCGCGCTGCCTGCCGGCGCGGCTGCTTTACGATCGGCTCTCGCGAGGATTAGTTTGTCAACGCCTCGACCACGACTCCGCGCAGTTGGCAACTCGGCGCCGCAGTTGCTCGAGACTCGCGCGCGGAGGTTGCGAGATGAGCCGCGGCGGCGGCGGCGGCGGCGGCGGGGGGCGCGGCGCGGCGGGCCGCTCGCCTCGGCGAAAGGGGAGAACGACGCGCCGATTCCGGGAAGGAGGCTTCGCGCGGGCAAATAACAATTAGAGCGCGCGCGCTCGCATCAGGACATTCCGCTGTCCGCAGCAGCGCGGCGGTCGCACGCTACTCAATAGCCGCGGCGCGATAGCGATAAGGGACGACAGGCGGTAACAATATCTGCGCGCGCGGCCGCGCGCGATGACGGCGATGCTGCGGCGCGTGTTGCTTGTTCCAAGTTCAAGAGCCGCGCTCAGGGCCGCGCGCTCCTTTCGCCGCTGTCAGCGAATTTTTCCGCGAGCCGCCGCGATGAGGATGGATAAGATAGAGCGCGCGACGGACGCGAGAAGAGGGAAGGCCATCAGCGCGATGATCGCCGGCCAGCTCTCATTAGAGTCGCTGCCGAGCGGAGCGCGGCGCGCGGCGCGTCTCCCTGCGCGCGCTCGCGACTTTCTTGCCGAGTCCGCGCGCGGCTTTTTCTCGCTCTCGCTCTCGGCCACGCTTTAATTGTTTCAAAGATAAAGCGCCGCCGGTGTAACAAGCAGAAATTATTGTGTCGTTTTAAACAACGGCTTAATTGTTTTCGACTTGTTACCGGCTCTACCGGCTCGCGGCTGTCAAAATTTCCGCCCAAATTACGAGCAATTATTTCTTATTTATCGCGCTCGCTCGCAGTCGCGCGGCCCGACACTCGGGAGCCGAACGCGCCTAACGGATCATTTGCGCTCGCGCTCGCGAGGTAAAGCGAGAAAACTCCTGCGCTCGCGCTCGGCTCGTTATCAAAGCCATACTTGCTCTTATCGGCACAAAGGTTCTTGCCTCCTAATGCAGCCCGGCTGCGCAGCGCGCATGCAGACAACGAGAGAAGTTGGTTGACCGCGCGCTACCGACACCAGATAAACCTTACGAGTATCCGTCTCTCCCTCTCTCCCGCTCTCCCGCCCGCCGCCCGCCGCCCGCCGCCCGCCGCTCGCCGCTCGCCGCGCGCCGCTCGACGCTCGACGCTCGCCCGCTCTCTCGTAGTAATAGCGGGCATATATAGCAGAAGCTTACCGAGAACAATCAAGAATCCGAGCTATGGTCACGTACTCCTCGACCGTGTTTCGACTTTGAATCTCGCGGCGAGCAACCTTCCTACATCCACAGCTATCACAAATCAAATCTCGCAGAAAAATGTTCAAGACTCGCGCGGTAATTTCGAGAAATGATAATGAGTTGATGTGCGCGCCGAGCTCGGCGGCGACTCATTAGGCAAAACTGTCACAGACGAGTCGCGCGGGCAGCGCCGAGGGATTAGCATGGGAACGGCGAGCGCGCCTACCCACGGGCGACTCTGGCTGCGAATTCGAACTGGATTCGAACGAAGCGATACTGCGGAGGCGCGCGAAAGCGTGGCGGGCCTTTGATGCGCCAACGGCGCGCCCGCGTGGCTCGGCTACCGGCTTGCCAGTTCATTCATCCACATTCGGCCTTCCAGTCACGAAAGCCGATACAATCATCGAGCCGCCCGGGCGATCGCCTCCTCGCGGTAACGCGCGCGCCCGAGTCAAAGTGCCCGCCGCTGGCCTCCAGCGTCCCGAGCGTTTCCTCGCCACCGGCCTCCAATCAAGCCCAGCCTTACCTTCGATCTATTTCCAGTGAGCTCGGCGACCGCTCGACAGAACAATGCAGCGTCATTCGAGATTTGCGATTCAGACAACGCAGGCATTTTTCAACTCTCAACATTTGCACAATAATTTTGTCTTCGCTCGAGATGATTCACACTTGAAAAATGTACGCATATACGTTCTCGTTGTCGCGGCCACGGTAGAATTACCACAAAAATCCCATTTTAGCGGAACAAACACGAAATAAATCATATCAAAAACCTTCGCGAGTTGTGAGAAAGACGGCTTGCGAGGCACTGTACTATGGGAACACGGCGACGCGGACGGAGACAGAGACGACACGGGGGGAGACAGCGAGTTGACACAACACATTCACTGCGCCGAGAGATACGAAGTCGCTCGCGGTGCCCCGGGACCTTCGACGAGCGGCGTTTTCAAGGTTTCTGCGGCGACGAGCTCGCACGGCGATGCACTGCTCGAGTCGCTTGGCGATTGGCGCGCGACCGCGTGAAAATCGTAATTCTGAGAGACGTACTGTGAGTGGTTGCGGGACTCAGCTGTAGCTGCGCCAGGCCGCCTCGGATCCACTGCGAGCACTCGACTGGTCCATAACGAGCAGCGCAGCGCGATCATCGACTGCACGTGAGCGCGCGCCTATCACTGGCCGAACACTAGCCGCCTGCGCCCCGCCAGCGGACAGGCCGACGGCAGCGCGTGCTCGTCGCTCGTCGCTCGTCGCTCGTCGCTCGTCGCTCGTCGCTCGTCGCTCGTCGCTCGTCGCTCGTCGCTCGCGTAGGGGCAGCTTCGTCAGCAGGGGGAGCCGCGCGGTTCGCGCCACTGGCTGCTGCTGCTGCTTCCGCTGCTGCTGCTACTGCTGCTGCTAGGCCTGCGCTCTGACCGAGACTAAACTTCGACTAAGCGCTCGCGCGGCCGCAGCCCTCGGCGCCAGTCATCCCTCGCGCGCTCCGCTCCGCGCTGCTCCACGCACTGTCGCGCGCCCGCGGCACAACTATTGTCCAGACCCGGCTCGGCGCGCGGCCCGGCCCGCCGCGGGGCTGCCCGGGCGCCGCCGGCGCGGCCCCCCGTCGCGGGCCCGCCTCGGGGCTCGGCTCCCGCGGCCGCCCGGACCGCCGGCCTCGCGCCGGGCCGCGGCGCGGCCGCGCGGCCTAGACATCGCCCGACGAAACTTGGCCGGCCCGCGAAGGGAGGCGCGCGCGCGGCCGTAGGGTGGCGCCGCCGCCCGGCGGGCGCCGTAAGCTCGCGGCCGCGCGGGCGGCGGGGGTGGCGACCCCCACCGCGGCGCGCCCCCTCCGCCGCCGGTGCCCCCCGGCCGCGCCACCCCGGGGAGCCGCTACCGACTGATCGGGGATGCCGCGCTCTATTGGAAGTATCGGTGACTTCAACGGGATCTGATCGGAAAAGAGGGTGCACGCACGCGCCGGGCCGCCGCCGTCGCCGCCGCCGTCGCCGCCGCCGATCACGCTCTCGCTCGCTCGGCCTGTAGGTGCGCACCCATGCGGCCGCCCGTCCGTGTACAATGCTCTCGCGGCAGCCTGCTCGCTAGTTACGGGGGGCGACATGTATAGCCCGCAATGTATACTTGGAGGGGCTGAATTAAGACTCTGTCATTAGGATGATCCAGCCGGGCTGACGTGCGAGCATTCGACAGCCCCTGTTGGCGACCGAATTTATGAGCCGCCGCAGACTCTATCTTCCAGCTCTCGGCTCGCATCGATCCCTCGCACTCGCACGCGGCTGGCTTGCCGCTTTATTCGCCTGCACTCATTTATCCAGATGGACCGGCGAGACGCCCATCGCCGAACTAACTCCGAAACAATTCTCGCGCCCGATCAATAATGCACTCGCCTCCCCGTGCTCGCGCGCACTATTCCACTTGGCCGTGCTCGCCTGCGCCTGTACGTAAGTAGGCATCGCCGTCGCGCACTCTCACTTTCTTTTTCGCCTCCGCGATTGTGCGCGCAATCGATTCAAACCGGGGCTTTATTCGCGCTACCGCTCCATCTCTATATCCACAATGCCGTAATACTTTAAATAATGAATTCCCACAATAAATTAAATCTATTTGATATTCACCCCTTTGATTTGCCGTGGGAATAATAATCCGCACTATAATCGGGCTGCGACACTGGCCCGTGCTTTATTAATGCGATGTTCCTTTCCTCGTCTATTTGCCGGTGCCAATAGTGCGCTGCCAATAGTGCGCCAGTCGCCCGAGTGTACCTGACGCTATCTCGTCGAGCAATCGAGACCGTGCCTTTTTCCCAAGTTCGTCGAGTTTTCCAACGAGTCAACCTCGACGATATTGCGCGACGATAGTGTAGGTGCATTTGGTCGGGTATCGAAACTTGTTGAATGGTTACCGTTGAGGAGTGGGCTAAACAAACAAGCGTAAGCATACGTAATTGGCAGGCGTCGCGACGCGGTAGGAAAATAAAACATTGGGCAACAAGTGGATAATAAATGATGTTTGTTTGCGTATCGAAATGAAATCAAGAGTGAAAGCCGGAGGATAGCAACGGCGGCGAAGGGGGCGGCGGGGGGCCAATTGTCGTCGGTGGAAGGGGCGATTATGTCGGGCATGCGTCCAGTGCTCGACAAGTCAAGCGCAGGCCTTGCCAGCAGGCTCTGCTCCCCTCCATCCCCGCCGCTCCGTTCGTCTCGCGACTCGCGGTCCGATTATCGCACTCTTTCGCGCGCGTCTCATCTCCCCCAGCTGCCGGCCGTTCAGCCGCAGCTCGCGGCTCGCAGCTCAGGCACGCGGCGATAGAGAAAACTCGGATGTGCGAGCGAGCAGCCCCCTGACGTCCACCCACCTCGACGTATTCGTTAGTGCATAACGAATCGGACGCTGCTGGCTACGTTGCTCGCAAACTCGTTTCTCCGCTTTAACGCGGAGACGTGCGTTGGCTCGATATCCTCGATGAGGATTGCGCGCTCGCATAGGACTGAACGTACACTTGTGACTGTAGCAGCATCGATGCGTGCTAGGGGGCAGAGGAGGAAATGGGAAGAAGAGCGCATTGTGATGCGAACGAGGCTCGGCGATTGTTGGGCAGACGTTAGACCGGAGCGGATGGTCGATTCGAGGTGTCTCGGTAATGAATCGATGCGTATTTTCGTAGCTTTATTATTATTGAAATGCGGCCCTGAATGGCTGATTGCTCGCTCGCTCGCTCGCTTTCTGTCTGTCTGTCTGTCTGTCTCTCTCTCTCTCTCTCTCTCTCTCTCTCTCTCTCTCTCTCTCTCTCTCTCTCTCTCTCTCTCGAAGGAGAACGAACGAGGCGTAGGGGCATTTAAAATCGAAAGGGTGCATGAAAGCCCGATATACGCACACACAACCGCATGTAAGCACTTCCTGCTCTCTCGAGTCCCGCAGGAGATGGGCGCGGGGGCGCGTCGCGTGGGAGGCGGCGCGGCAGGGGGAGGGGGGTTGGTCTATATCGCGCGACGATTAAATCGAGATTGAGGCTCTTAGATGCAGGCGGCGCGGCTGAGTTGCAGCCAGCGTCTCGGGCGCGCGCAAAAGCTCCGCGTCGCGGCAGAGCGTTCACGGTCGCAACGCGCGCCACTGACATTGCCCCCCACCCCCCGGCGCCCGAGTCCGCGCGTCCCCCGCGAATATTATGCGAGCATGTGTCGCCGCCGCTCCCAGAATTAGCGTTACTCGGGATTTCGCGGCAGTCGAGGTCGTCGAGCTCGTGACCCTCTTCGACTCGTCTCTCTCTCTCGCGCGCGCCAGGCGATTATTATACACAGGTTGCGCTTCCCTCGTACGACTGCGCTCGATTTTCCGAGAAGCGCGCTCAATGAGTTTGTAAACTGGCGGCGCGAATAAACATCGCAATTGCATCGGGCGTTTGTTATTGTTTACAAACAACGGGAGCGGCGATCAGTCGGCGCGCTCGGCGTGCGCTCGGCGAAGGTTTTGCATCGACGGAATGCGAAAATATAAGGAGAGACCGACGCGAACACGAGCTTATAAGTTATTTCGAACGGCCGTGCCTGCAGCCGTCAGATCGGCATCAGCGAAATGCTACTACTGCAGTAGTCACTGCTCGCCGGCTACTATATATGCAGTCTGCGATCATAACGCGACTGGCGATGTAGGCCAGGATGTCCATGGAATCATATTTCGCATTATACGCGCGACACTTAACACCGCTCGTCGCTCCGCTCCGCGCGCACGTCTACGTCTGTGCGCACCGACACAGGCGGAATAGACGACTGCGATCCCGACAGCGCTTCGCCGAATCCGAGCTAGCCGCGCTCATTGACTCGGCTTCGATGCCACGCAGCCGCCACGACGCTTCCTAGCTCTCTTCCTTTTTCCTTTTTTTATTTGCATCCTGCCCTTGCGCAGCGCCCGTTACCAATTGACTCGCATTCCGCTCGTCAACTTTATTTCATGTATTTCTTTGAAACGCTCACGCAACGCCGAATCAAGCATTATGCCAGATAACATCACTCATATATTTCAAGTAGGTCACTGAATTTCCGATTCCAAGCCAAAGCATCCGACTAACAATGGAGCGCGCTGATTGCATCGCTGAATATTGCCCTAATAAAGAGAAAGAGAGCGAGAGAGAAAATGGCGCTTCCGGCATGGATCAGGAATCGACGAGTACGCGCGCGCGTGCGGTGCGCTCGCGAGTAATTGAATTGGACGACGCGCGAGCGAGGCCTGCCGAGCGTGCTCGAATTTGCTTTGCAACGCGCCGAGCGTCATCGCGAAAAAGTGCGTACGGTCCGCGCGCCGGTTTCCGTAAACACATCGCGGTTCGGCGATCGGTCCGATCGCATGCGCGACCGCAAGGCGAGCTCGCGCGCGCCGCCGCTGATGAAAGTTGCCCGAAGCGGAAACTCCAGCGGCGTTTTTACGAGCCGCACGCAATCATCTTCATTTTATTGTGCACGATGCATCGAGCGACGATTCCGCCGGGCCTGATCGCTTCGGCGACTGATCGACAGTCATGCGATATTCAAATGAACTGCACTTGGGCAATTTATGCCTCGTTAATGTCATTCGTAAAATGCGCAAACGAATAGCAGCTACGGCCGCGCGTACGCGTGCACATCCGCGCGGCACACAATGCTGCCCCGCGCAATTAATTTTTGCGCGCGCGCGCGCGCGGCCAATCCGGTTTTTTCTTCTCTCGAGAGCGCGGCAGCTACGTGCCGAGCGCTGGGAACGCCGAGATAGCGACTGTAATGGCATATTAATGAATGCGACAGCGCGCGTCGCCTGGATATTGCTCCGACAGGATCGACGAGGCTGCTGGCATCCGGTTTACGACGCTCCTATAAATAATTCGCGAGAGACGCGAGCGATCGAGTGCCGGCGGAGCGCTGCCCCGGCGGTCGCGCGCGCCCGAGCCGGCTGCCGCAGGTGGCAGCCCTCGCGCGCGACCCCTCGGCCCGCGCGGGCCATCGGGATCGGTGCGCGGTGGCAGCTCGATGGCGCGTCGCGCGCTTTCGACCGGTCGCGATTGCGGCGCCTTGCGAAACAATCGGCGCGCCGCTGCGGTTAAACAAATTGTTCCGGCTGACGAAACGCAGACTCGCGCGACGGTCCGCTGGGTCGCGGCTCCGCGAGCAAATAAGCGCTCTCGCCAGCGCTAAACGGTCCTTGTGCAACGGCTCTCTCGCCGCCGCTCTCTCCCATCGCTAATTGTGGCCCGGCGACGTGGCACCGCCGCGACCTCGGATCGGTGGATTCGGATGGCGCTCGGATGGCGCTCGGATGCTGCTCGGATCGGGAGCGCGCAGGCATACGTGAGATCGCGAGAGGGAGAGCAGCGGGTATGCTAAAAGGAGCGGCGCTCGCGCGCGAACTGGTTCGCCGAGGACAATACGCCCCGGCAGGCAGTTGGCTCGTCTATACGCGGTACTGGTTTGATTGTCCGCGGCCAGTTATCCGTTCGGACGGGCACTTCGATTCGCGCTCGATTATTTCGTAATTTCGATATGCTAATCAGCCGGAGGGAGAAAGAGAGCCGACAAACTGAAAGAGAGAACGAGCGCTCGCGCGCACGGAGCTGTTTGCTTCCTTCCTTCCTTCGCTTCGGGATTAGGGTTGTGTTTCAGGCGCTTTCTCACGTTCCTCCTCCCCTGTCTCCCTCAGTCTCTTTCGCTCTCTCCCATCCGTACTTTTCTCGCTGTGCTCTGCTTACTCGCCTTTCCTTTCCGGCCAAAGCTTCATTAAGTCGCGCACAGTTCGTTAACTCGATTCGATACTTCTCTTTCTCTCTCTCTCTGCCTTTTTACGCCTTGATCTTTCTTCGTCATCGGGTCAAACACGTTTCTCTTCGGTTTGTCGCGTTATCTCGCTCGCGCTTTCCCTCTCGTTCCGACTCGTCTTCTTCATTCGCGCCATCGGCACTCGCGATGGACTGCGCCACGCATCCGTCGAGCACATCGGGCGACCGTTGGCACGTAAAAAAGTACAAGTATAAAAAACTGTTGACGACCGGGAGACAGGCTTTGTCCTGGCTGCACGATAGATCCCCCCCCCCCCCCCCCTGTCCGAGAAAAATCAAAGCGCTCTTTTTTCACCGGGAGATCGCAGTCGATCGATGAACGCGGGAAGGTAGAGAGAAGTGAGAGGGAGGGAGCATCTGGCGGAATAGGCCCGAAGGCAGCAGTTCCGCGGCGAGGTGATCGTGCTGGGAACAGTCTGCGAGCTATCTGTCAATCCACTTGGCGGCTATAAAGGAGATTCGGATTAATGGTTTGCATCGAGTGTCGCGTCCACGTGAGCGGGACTGACAATGGCTCCGATACAATGAGAGGAAATATCCAAGATATGCAAACTAGCTGTTGCGTGAAGTTGCGATCGTCTTGGGAAGGGCGCGGCGAGCGAGTCTAGGGGGGAGCGCGAGAAGGGCTCGAATATCGCCCCGCAGAAGAAGGGTTCGGGGTTCGAAGACGAACACATGTTCGACCCATTTGCATAGCTCCCGGGCAATTTGCATAGGAAGAAATTTGCATGGTGCGTGCATCGGAGGCCGCAAGCCGTTCTCTCGGCAGCGAGATGCGCGTGCGTCGAACGTAGCTGCAGCCAATTATAATGACAATCCAGGGAGACGGGCTCTCACCTGTCGATCGCCGGGCGCCGGCACAATCGAGCCAGCTCGATAATCGGCCTCCGCGAGCATAATGCCGCGGCGCTGCAAAAAGCCAATATCGGATCGCAAGCACTCGAGCCGTGCGTTTAACTGCGCGCCAGCTCGCTGGCAACGGCGCGTAATGGAAGGTGCTGTAATTAATAGCGAATGGACTGTCGCGAGGACAGCGGACAAAGAGCTGGAAAAACTAGCGAGCCTGCGCGAGGGCGCGGGGGCGCGGGGGCGCGGGCGCCCGGAGCGGTGTCGTGTGCGAAGCTATAAGTTGAGTAATGATATATCTGCCGAGCTGAACTGGCGCTCGCTCGGTAAGACTATAGCAGCTGCGGAGCAGCGGCGACGGACACGCGGCCTGGACGCGCGGTTGATCTTGGCGCTGGACTCGCAGAAGTGTTTCTACCTGTGCGCCTCTCGCTGGCGTCTTTGTTAGACGAGCGGCGACAGCTCGCGTTTCCAATTCCACGAGAGCGAGCTCGGCCGGCCGCGCGCTGAATGGATATCGCTTTTCGCCGGCCGAACGCGGGGCGCGTCTCCTCCGCGTATCTGCGCCCGATCCGCGAGCGCGGCCCGGCTCTGCGTCACGCGCGCGGCCGCGCCACAATGGAAACTCGAACTCGAACGCCTACCCGCAGCCGCCGCCCCGACTTTTCCGCTCTCGATTTCTGTCCTACACAATGTAGCGGCGTGCGCCGAGCTCTCGCGCGACGACACAATAACGAGCCCCTTTCATCGCAACCCATTGACTTTTCTTTCTTCCCTTTTCTCTCTCCCTCGCACCGACGACGGCGACGACGACGACGACGCCGCGCAGCCACGTTTTCACCTTCGCCCAAGCATGTGGAACTGGCCGAGCGCCTGCCTGCAGCTAAAGCACCGTGCCTCTCACGAGGCCACTGAACCCCGTCCGAGCGCCAGGCTGCATTGTGGCCCGCGAGCGCGAGTCAATCAATTTTCCTTCGGCGCGCTCCTTGTCCTTATCAACGTTATCTGCCGGCTTCCCGGCTCATAACTCGAGGCTCGCGCCGACAGTCGGGTAATCGTTCGCGGCGCTCGGCGTGTGCAAATCCACCATTCCCATACGAATAAATCTGCCCGGCATCTGCAATGCCCTCGCGCGTATCATCGGCTCTCGGCTCTTTGGCACGTTCTCACATATTGGAAGTGCTGCTGAATTTCGTTAAATATGCAAGCATTACGAGGCGGAGAAGCAAGCTAGTAATGCTAATCCGGCACTCGATCGATCCACAACCCTTTTCTTCTGCGCGGCCCGATCGAAAGACATTACACGGAGAGCGAGAGCGAGAGAAGAAGCGACCTTGGCCTGTCCCTCCACCTGGTTCAATAAAAGAACCCCCTGCCTCTGCCCCTGCCCCCTGCCCCCCGCCGCCCCTGTCTCGTTTGCGTGCAGCTTCTCCGCCTCTGCAGCCTAGCTACACACACGCGCGCGCGCGCTCACAAACAAACGCACCAATTTATGTAGCGGCCTACTAGTCTTTCTCTATAGGCTAAATCATTCTCCTCGAGAATCCCTGTGACGAATGCCCATTACGCCAATGATCGTATTCGTATTCCTGTTTTTTTTTTCTTCGCGATATCCAATTTTTTTTCTTCGTTCTCTGCTCGGATTAAATAAAGGCCCGAGGGACAATGCCGAGCGCGGCGCATGAATTAAAGGGGCTCCTCGATAGGAAAATGAAATAGGCGTGTTTGATGATGAAAAGTGTGCGCGGAGAGCAGCAAATACGTGACTATATATACGCGTATCGACGAGGCGGAAGAGTCAGTCTCGCCCCCCTCTTTTCTCTCTCGGTTTTTTTTTTTTTTTTTTGAACAAGCTTGCTTCGTTTCAGTAGATCTTCATCCCTCACTCTGCTTCTCCGTGGAGTGCGCGCTCGTAGCTTCGCATATATACATACAGTGTATTTGCCTCGCATGCGTTGGCACGTATATCCAGGAGCGAACGCGCGCGCGCGTTATAGCTGCGTGGAATATGCTAATACTAGCGGAGCGCCACCATTGCCAGATATGTAAATAAGTTAGATTTGAGTTTTGTTGCGACGGCAACTTCGATGGGAACCTATACGCACGGAACGTACACAAACTCTCGACTGAGAGGGAAAAAAGATGGAAAGGGTTCGGAGAAATCGGTGGCTGACTGACGAAAATATCTACATATTATTCGGTGATCGAGCGATCGAGTGATCGAGCGATCGAGCGAGCGAGAGGGAGTAAAAAGCGGCTCGTGTAAGCGTCTTAATAGCCACGAATCACTCGTACGTGATGCAGCTCCATCCAGATTTATTACTTTCTTCGAGCAACCGACCAGGTATTGTGTGAACGGAAGCTACGGATTTTACGATCCAGATCAATACCACCCTCAGATTCTCCGTGTACTTAATCTTACTTCCGGCTGCTTCTTTCACACTTTTTCTTCTCTGCTTTGCCATTCTGGTCTTTTCTAAAATGCTCCTTATTTTTATCTACAAGCTGCTGTACGAATGCGTCCTAATCTGCCTCATCCAAAAATCTACTTTTTTTCATCAAATTTACAACATCTAAAAGTCTTACTGTTTGGAATGTTCGTGAATAAAATAGATGATGAAATGCCGTTGTCGAAAAATTGGCTCGTTATTTAATAACACTTCTTTCTATCGACAGTATTTGATCTCAGCTTTCATTTGGCATCAGTTTAAAAGCTCCTTATTGCTTTTGTTCACAAAAACGCAGTCATTAAAGAAAATCGAGTATTAAATCTATATGATCAACACTTATTGAATTCTCACTATTTTTTGGTATTCCTACTTTTCGCATTCAATGCTATTGGATTTTTACTATTTACATAAGATATATAATTTTCTAATAATTACAATATTAATATTAGTTCGAAATATAAAATTTATATAAAATGTGACATATTATCAATATTTTTATTGATTAAATATTGCAATGCGATAATGCGTTAATAACGTAGTTGCTGTGAAACGCATTGCATATTTGCATATCTTACACCGGAAAGGGCTTATGACTCTAAAACAAACAAATAAATATATTTTGGTAAATATGGCTTATAATAGTAAGATCGACAATTTATTTATAAAAATACGACGCTAGTAGCCATATCGGATTATGTACACAAAATTGACATTAGCTGAGCGAGAGAGAGAGAGAGAGTGCGTTTGTGAACTCATAGTTATACTCCGTATCAAAGTCACGCGTGCATCATCAGCGCTATTCACGTAGGTAGATAAATTAGCATAAGGGTTGTTAACGCGTGAGAACAAACTCGACTTCAAAAGGAAAAAGAGATGCCCCAACAGACGATTTGAAATTCTAAGCCGCAAAACTGAATTTAATGCGGACCACACTGAATCACAATCCTCGAGTGCGCATAATCACTAATTTTACGCACCTTTCAGAAACCATGCTGGATATATTATATATATATATATATATATATGTATAAAATTTCTAACTGCGACACACGGGTTGTCTGCGCATAGACCTTAACTCCATCTATGTGTTGTGAATGAATAAATCCTTGATTAAACATTTGAAATACTCGGAGACCACTGTGCAAGGATCGTTGAATCGATTTGCTAGAGCAAAAGTATCAATTATCAATGCGAGAAATTGAAGCTTGCATAAAATATTACCTTCGTCGACGCACTGGTAAAAGTCCTCCTCGGTGACTCTAGTGATGTTTGGTATTAGTTGCAAAGTAGGTCGAATGCTCGCGATCATTTCTTCTTTGATGATTTTTCCATCGATATCCATCTGCGGTTGGATTAAAAAGTAGTATTTTGAATTATTCCAAATAGAAAAGCGCTCGACAATTTCGTAAGACATTAATTACCAATCCTATTTTATCCCAGACGCATGCCATCACACAATTCCCAGGGGCTTCTATAGGCATCGTAAAACTTCTTCTCGTTTCCTCTAGACAGCGCAGAAAAAAATGATCCTCTCGGCAGCAGCCTTGTCCTTACGGATTATCAACTGACAATCGCAATGAACTTACCAACGAGTAATCCAATTCGAGAGGCGCATTGGTCGATGCTGTCGTTTAAATCCACATCGTCCACTCTTTCGTGACTCGGCGCGCACCTGCCGATTTGCTATACATGGATCACATGATTGCCACTCGTGTTCAATGGAGTGAAGGCCTGTCCGAGTATAGAACGGCGAGATAGTTACCGTGAGAATGGCGAAATAACTCGAAAGAAGTAGCAAAAGCTGCATCGTCTTGGAAAATAGGACGATATGCGACGTGCATGCGAGCGTCGAGCTTGTACCGTTGAATGGCCAATTAAGGCTGTAACGACGCGATATTTATACCTCGGCATGTTTTGCAAATCGTCATACGTGATATATCAGCAGATTGCACTATCCATTGTTGATCAATGATAGGCTGATTCGTCGGTCCGCGCGAGAATGCTATCCTCGGCATGATGCAGCATTTTCAGCGGTCCGTCAATGCCGGCAACGTATCGACATAATGACACGCTCGGCCGAGCTACGACTAATGATATGGCTCTTAATCTCCAATAAATTCGTTAAAGAAGGTCCAATTGGAAAATTGCAAAGCGAAAGGGTGTCTCGAGAACTCGCAACTGATCCGAAATCATTGAAGCGCGACCTTGAGCCTCGACTGTGCGTCCGGAGGAACGGCGGTCATGTGGTAATAATTATAAACAAAGAGAGGCAGGAGGGGCACGGGGAGCGCTCGGCGGAAGTGGCCGGGCAAATAAAGCGTTGCCCACGGGAGATATGGCTGGTATATTCGATCGGCAAGCAAGGTGTATCGATCTGGAGCGGTGCGCGCGCGCGCGTGCAAATGCAAATGAGCGGCGGCGGTCGTGTGCCTGTACGCACTTAGGCCGTTGATGAGGGCGCCGGGCGTAAGGCGGAAGAGTTGCTCGATAGAGATCGGCCGCGCCGCAACGTCTGCCAGGCAGCTAACGAACCCGTTTCGATCCAGTGACCATCAGCCTCGCCGATCGGCCGATTCTCGTTCGATTGCACGTATCGCGAAACACGCGCCGGCGGACCACTCGCGCTCACGCGACAAACTCGCGCCTGGCCGCTGCAGTTATCGATTGCCATTGGCCGCAGCGCTCGGCCAACTGCCAATGCGATATCGTGCATCGGCTCCCCTCGGAGCTTCCGTCGGCCTGATTAATAGTCGGCCGCGCAGCCAGATAATCGAAAGGAAGTGGCCAAATGAACGTGAAAATAAGCCGAGATGCGATCGTCGGCGCGCAGCGACTCGCTGCCGCTGTGGAGCTGCGCTTCAAACTCGCCTCCGCCACGGGAAATTAGCGGCATACTTGCGTTCGATGCGAGCGCGATAATTTCTGTTTTCTCGGCTCGTCACGCCTAGCTTGCGTCGTCGAATGCGCGTCTACGGCCGCACGAAAGGACAGAGAGGCACGCACGGCGCAGACTTTGCGCGACAAGGGAAAAGTGCCAACACAGGAAATTATTAAAACGCCTGGGAGACTTTTATTCCTATGGACAATCAGTGTGACGCTGGCGTTCACACAGTGACGCCCGCCTGGAATGCTCCGATACTTACGCGTATTCGTTGCATCATATCCGACGGGCTTTTTGCTCTTCCCCGCCTGATTTCTGACCAATTCAATTGGTCTTTTTCTTTTTCGTTGTATTATTCGGGCTTTTGGACTCCCCGCGCGCGCACAGCGGAAACCTGATATTCGTCAGCGATGAGTGAATCACTTCCTATTTAATGCCGATGTACGATTGACGCGCCGCGTTCGCAGCACTCTGCCAAGTTTAACGAGCGACTGGTGTGTGCGTGCGTGCGCGCGCGCGCGCGTGGCTGCGTGGCGCTCCTCACTGGAACGAGTCCGCGCTTCGGAAGAAGCCGCGGCGCTGATTAGACGAAAGAGAATCGGCGAATTGGCCGGTGATTAAGGAGCGCGCCAGTTGACGGAACGAAAGAGGCAAAGGAAGCGCGTGAGCGCGTGCGGGCCCGTCTGGGGGATTAAGTACGCAGCTTGCCGAGCGAGTAAGTGAATAAGTGAGCGACCGAGTGCCCCTGAGAGCCGTGCATTGTAATGGCAGCCTGCAGACAGCTGAACCTGCCTAAGCTCGTTCCGCGCGCGCATTACCTGCATTCGGCAATAACCCAATTTTCCGACGCCGAAGCGCAAAGAGGCTACCAGCCCGCGATTACTCCGCGCTCGATCTCAATAGCCGGCAGCAAGAGTGCAAAAGTCCGCTAATACGGCGCTCGAGTGAGGTTTCAGCGAAAAGCAGCCGGCTCGAGCAGATGACAGTGCTATTTCGCTTTTAAAGTTCGACTCGTCTAGTGCGTGCTCTCGTATAGGTTTTTTGCCGCGTCCCGGTAAAAGCTCGAGCGCGGGCACGATATTCCGATCGAGCCGACGACAGTCGAGAGAGAGAGAGAGTCGCTCGCAAAGGAGAGCTTTGAGAGCTTAAAACGCTAGGGTTTGACACATGCACAGAGCGCGGCAAAAGCACAAGCAGGCAGCTGGGGCTCTGTCTCGCGCGTTCTCTCAGTCGTTGTTTCTGTGCGCCGCGCATGCCTCGCAAGTGCAGTCAGTCACAAAGCGAAAGATCAGCGCCAAACGGGCGGCGGGGGTGGGGATCGCAGCCAGTGTATCTGTTCGACTTGTGCCATCGCTGCCGTCATTACTGCATTGTCCGTGTCCCCTAAAGCGTGCACCAAATACACATCGCGACTGCTCTTTTGCGCGCAGGCCCGATTCGACTCGCTGATACGTGTGAACACGCCGCTCCCTCCTCGCCACCTTTTTCCTCTCCTCGCGCCTAACGACGTGGCTCCTTCGGCCGCCTGGCTGTGCCGCCGCTCCCTTCTCACCACGGCGTATAAAATTATCGGTTATGGCCGCGGCCTTTTTCCAAAGTCTGTGAATTTTTCATTAACGAGCCCCACGCGGCCCGCTAGGCGGGACGCGCGCGCAATTTCCTTTCGGCAATCCAATAATAAAACCTGACGACGGCCATTGAGGAGCGTTGGCAGTTCGCGCTCAAGGCCCCGGCGTCCCTCGTTAAGACGGACGCGCGGCCGCGCCGCCGCGCCGCCGCGCCGACCGATCGCAAATTAATTCCGCGCCGCGGCCTGCGTGCGAAGCGCGCGAGAGGCTGCCCTGCCCGCGCCGCGGCTCGGCCCGCACTCCACGTACAATTTGGAGTTATGTAGCGTTTCGTTATCGTTTCCACGAAAATGTGTCTCTGGGCGACAAAGCGAAACGCGACGTCGCTTCCGCCCGTTCATTTATCCTCGCTGCTGCTCGTTCTTTCGGCTCTGAAACAATGGACGTTAATGCCCGCGGGTTGTTGACTCGTGCGCTTCTTTCTGCTTTTCCCCTTTCTGCTCGTTTTTTCTTTCTCGTTTTCTCTTCGGGTTTTTCCTTTTTTTCGTTCGGCTCGCCGCGGAATACACGCGACACGGAGCGCCAAGCGGCCCGTCGTCCGCTCCGAAAATTCGAGCTTGGCCAAGCGACGAGCGTCCGCGCTCTTATCGAGCCGCGACAATGGAGCGCCCGTAGCCTCGGGAGCGCGGCCCGAGGGGCGATCGACACGTGCATCCACGCAGCTGCACCTGTCGCGGGGCTCGGCCGCTGCCAGCGGGAAGCGAGCCTGGGCGACGATGTAGCGGAAGCAGATATCGCTCGAGCGAGTTGGCTCTAGCCGATGCGTGCGGGCACTGGCTGGCGTCGAACCGGCGACAAGGCCAGCGTGCGATAGTCGGCTACTCGGCCGTCCGAGCGCCAATGCCAAGCGCTGGCTTGCCGCCTCTTCGCGACGCGCAGCGATGCGCCAACTTATGGAGCCGCTTTGCGAGAGGTCGCGCGGCTGGCTTGGCGATATTGCGTGCACGTGCGCTGGCTGGCTGGCTGCAGAGGCCGCAGAGGCTGAACGAGCACTTTTCTCTCTCTCTCTCTCTCTCTCTCTCTCTCTCTCGCTCGCTTGGCGCGTCTGTGTGAGAGTGGCTTCGCAATGAAAAAGGGCGGCCAATCGCGCAGCTCGCTGGCGAAACCAATATCGCAATGTTCCGCCGCGAAAAGTTCGCCGGTAATGCCATACAATATCTACTTCAGCTTCCATTACTCCGGCGCTCTCGCGTAATACTCCCCCCCCCCCCACCCACCCCTCCCTGCCCCCTATCTCTCTCGCTCGCCGGCGAGGCAGCAGTCGATAGAGCAGCGAGCCCATATACTTTCTCTCTATCTCGGTCTCTACTCGCTCATTCTCCCGTTTCGCGTTTCGTGAGCACTCTCGCGGCTCTCCGCGGCTCCACGATCTGCGGGCTTTCTCGGGCAGCGCCGAGAGATTGTGTCACTGGCGCAGACAGCTAATGCCCAAATTGAATATTATCTTGTAGATGTGCCAGCTAGAAAAACCGCAGCGAGAGCCCGAAATAAACCGAATAGCGCGAGCGGAGAGCCTCAACCGAATATCAGCTAATAGGATATCGGCTGTGCTATATAAAACGAACCCGTCACCGACACACAAACAGGGAAAAACAACTCGGCTGCGCGCGCTTTCTATTTCGGGTTTTCCAATTACCGATAAAGCCGGGGAGCACGACGCACTAGTCGAGATAACCAGGGCTTATTATTACAAGCCGCGATACTGATTTTTTATCGTGCCGCCTTTCGTTTCTCGCTCGCTGCCAGCGTTCGCGCGGAGATGACAAGGAGAAAAAAGGCGAAAGAGAAGCGGCCCCGCACGCGCGATTATCGCCAGCTTTCAGCGGGACAAGCAAATAAAACGGGAGGGCGAATGATCGGGCAGGGCAGTGGAGAGGAGGCTGGGAAACGATTTAACACGATTGGCCGCTGGGGGTAAAGTGGCCGTCCACGCGCATTGGTTCAATCGGTTCCATTGGCTCGCTCACCTTCCGTCCGTTCGTCCTTGTCTGGCTATAGCTCTCGGCTATCGCTCCGCTCTCTCTCTCTCTTTCTCTCTCTCTCTCGCTCGCTCTCTCGCTCGCTCTCTCGCTCGTTCGCGCGATTGCGCACCACTGGCCTCGATATCGGAGCACTTTGCCCGCGGAAACTCGTTAAAGCGTTCGTTCTTTCTTTCTTTCTTTCTTTCTTTCGTTCGTTCGTTCGTTCGTACGTTCGTTCGTTCGTTCGTTCGTTGGTTCGTTCGTTCGTTCGCTCGCTCGCTCGGTGCTCCAGCTGCGGGCTTGTATACATGTATATATACACACATAGTGAGCCGTTGGCAGCTCACAGCAGTAGCAGTAGCAACAACAGCAGTAGCAGCAGCAGCAGCAGCAGCAGCAGCAACGTCTA